GTCATTAGCAAACCTGTTTCTTTCCATTTTTCTACAAAGATTGCCTTAGTACTGGCAATTACAGCTGCCAGATGAGTGGGAGAGTTTAAAGTTTGGTCTGTGGGCTGGTTTTACATACTGCACGCACTCAAACTCCTCTGCACACAGGCTTGTTACCTTCTTCAAGGGCTTTTCTATTTTGCGTATTGCTGTAGCCTTGTGTTCTGGAGCACTAATCTTCACAAAACCCCTGTGAAGAGAGGTAGAACTATCGCAGTTCCCCAGTTTTGGGCACAGCAGGCTGAAGGTTGTGAACATGCCACCTCATGCTGTGTTCCTGGGGACTCTGATGTTTCAGCGTGATGGAAGCACGTCCTGTTCTGACATTCCTCCTTCCCCTGGCTTCAGTCACAGAGGTGCCTCAGCAGAGGGAAGGTGGCAGAGAAAACAGCAATTCCTGCCTAACTGCACTGTCCTGCGGGCTAGATTTTGCGACTGGAGTAGCCTTATTAAAGTAGGATTACAAAGACTTTTATAACATGAGCCTGCACATGAGCTTGTTCTAAGCAAATGAGGTAAAAACAATTCCTTCATATGCCTAAGATTTGATGGCTGATTTGGACCTTGAAGGTCAGGGACATCTTAGTCCTTGAGCAAAGGCATAACTGCCAGCAGCAGCGGGCCACGCTTCTCCAGCACCGAGGCAGAGGAGCGCAGTCTGGCTATTGCCTTGCCAGTACATTTAACAGGTATTTAGTGGAAGAGTGATAAAATGTGACTTTACTGAACTACAGCCCCCACAGCTGTGCTGCCTGTTCCCCTTCAGTTGTTTCCCAGGCCTGGGTCTCCCCCACCCCAAGGACCTCTTCCTTACCCCCCTCTCTGCCTCTCCAGCCCCAGTCGCTACCTCTCACACTTACCAGTTGCTTATATAGACTCTGCCGTTAGACCCAATCTCTCTGGGGATCTTCCCAAGCTTCAAAAACCCAACTGCTGCTTCTGGTTCCTTACCTACGTGCTCGCCTTCCCTGCCAGCTTTCCCTGCCGCTTTCCTGCCTGTAGTGCCCCATCACCCCCTCCGTGTCCCCATAGCCCATCCCCGTCCACTCCTGCCTCTGGATCCTACCCTCTGACACTTCAAGTCGTTGCCCAAAAGGCTGGGATGTTACAGCTTTCCAAAGAGAAGTTAATTATATAGATTTTTTTTTTTCAGAGGGGTTAACAGAAATATTTTACCTACATTTCTCAGAATCACCTGGAATTATTTTGGTGAGAGTTTCTCTAGTAAGAGTTTTCATGAACGAGGATTTTTCACAAAAGAAGACCGGAGGCTGAAGCCCCCGAGCTAGAAAATACCAGCCCGACCCCAGTTAGTTTTGCAACATCACAAGCACCCCAAAGCGTGTGTTGTAGAGTGGAAATCCTCGGCAACCATTTCTAATGGATGGCACCAGCCCACAGTCAGGCCCGTCTCGCTTCAGGGCTCAGCAGAAGGAGTTTGCCGTGGTGAGTGTTTGTCACCGTAATTCCTCTACAAATTACCTGGAGTCGGGATTTTCTAAAGCGTTTAAGAGAACAGGAGACATTCAGCCATCGCTGAATTTTGAATTAAAATGGGATTTAAACTCCACTGCTTGAAAATCCAGGTCTTAGGATTGCAGATGGGTACTTTGAACGGTCTTTCCAACCACCCAGCGCATAAATGTATGTGGTTATATTTTGAGGTGAAAAATGATTTATATTGTATCCATAGTTGAATTCTTCATAATCTTTCACTGCGCTTGCTGGTGCTTCATACTGATCAAGGATTTACTGCAAAAGAAGACCCTCTAGCCTTTTATATAAAATATAGTCTAAAATTGTGTGTGTATTTTTATAGTGAGAGTCCCAGTGACACAACACCTATAGAGAGAGGGAGAGACGGGTTAACCAGAGACTAACTTTTATTGTGCATTTTTATGCAACAGAACAAATGGAACTGGAGGTATGTAGTAATAAAACCAATATTCAAATTAGAATTGACACCTGAAATAGTAAACTGTAGGTAACAAATGTCTTTATAATTAAAAAATATTGACTGTTTAAAAAATTCTCTAAGATTTTATATTCTTTAAAAGAAATGTGTGTTGCCACATAGAAAACAATTCACACATCCTATAGAAATTGTCACAAAAACCTTACTAGTCTATATTACACTATGCACTTTTTTTGTACAATATCTGGCAAAGGTCTATCCCTAACCTGTACTTACTCTACACAGTACAATCATCATTAGAAAGTATTCATAGAATTAACTACACCATAACAATAAAAATATCAGGATTAATGGTTTTTTAATCACAGTTTCTCCACAAATATTTGTCATAGAAAATATAGCGAAGGCATGTTGGCACAGATGGGCGTGCGGTACTGCTACACAAAGTTTGAGAGAAGGCAGATACATAAATGACAGAAAGATTAAAGAGTACGGAAGGATAAGACAAGAATCTCTATCCTCCTGGGACTTTCCGGAGTGACATGATAGATAGCGGTTTCCTTCTGTCGCCAGCCTGCTGTCTCCACCCACCGCTGGGAAGGGATGTGCTGACTTGCGACGCGTGCTCCGCACGGGCTTACGTGCTACCTAGTCTTCCAGGTCCCGTAGCATTATACCTAACCTCTTGTGGGTATATAGACACTTCAGGGTGTATGGATTTATAATGCCTCATGAACAAATTAATGGAAAGAAGCGGTTGTTGAAAGGTTTTGGGGTTTTTTTGTTGTTTTTTTTTGTTTGTTTTTTTTAACAAAATGGATGGGTCAAGTGGCCATGAGCCATGATGGCAAATAAAAATACAGACAACTGATAAAAGTTGTTGTACTCTGTTATCTTAAAATCAAATGTGAACAAAAAAAGATGGTCTGGTGTCTGCTAATGCCTGTCTGTGACTACAATTCATGTCACTGCCCAGTGCACGCAAGCGACTGAGGGCAAAATTTTGTTTGTAAAGAAAGGTCCAAACCTGCAAAGCCATTTCTAGTGCCAAAGTGGCTTTCAGGATGGAACTATACATTTGGTTACTTTGCACAACATGAGAGCAGAGGGTTGTGAGTGGTTCCAGGAGGCTGGCTACACTTTTTACACTAAAAATAAAGCTAGGCTTACTAGTTAGTTCAGCAAATCTTTAGGTTATTGAGAGAGGTCTGTCCAGTCCAGTAATTCTGTTCTGTGACTGTTAAAAATGAAGCGTTCGTATTTTTAACCTCATACGATTAAACATCTGAAAGGAAACCATCACTATGTTTACAAAAATACAGCATGATACATATTGCCATGGACAAATTTACAGTATAATGTTGACTCACACGTTCTGACATATTTTACCAAGTAGTTCTGGCAAGTGTCACCACATTAAACATAGACCAGCAAGACTTACACCATCTGAGCAATGTAACATCTTCTATTATAGTTCTTTTAAAAAAAAAGTGTAAGTTCAACACTGAAAAGCTACTATAGGATTATCTGTACCGTGACATTTCTATACAGCGAGTTTCTCCTCTGGAGGCCACCCCGTGCCATTGACTGTTCAAAGCAAGTCACCTCTTGGCTCTAGTGAGGGATGCTGCCCCAAACCCCTCGCCCTGGTGAGGTCCAGTGTGACTAAACTGCTCATTCACTTTTAGAAAATAAATGAGTTATTCTGGGTCAAGCGAGTGCTTTTCACCTTCCTTTTAAAAATCACCAAAAATAAAATGAATTGAGAGGTATTGGACATTTAAGGGCCGAAAGCATAACCTGGCTGAGCGCGGTCCCGTCTACAGGGCTGCAGGGTGGAGCCCGTGTCCCGAGATGCCCCGTGCGCTGGCTGCGAGAGACCGGTCACAACCGCAGGCGAAGAGGAGGCAGATGGCGAGAAGAAACTATCGCGTGCGCAAGCTGACCTTTGAGAGACTGCCTCAGTCCTCCACCTGTGGTCATGCCGGACCTAGAGGAGCGCTTCACCCCAGAGGGCCCTTCCCGATCTTTGCGGAAGGGTTGGGTGTCTCCTGCCCTGCCCGGCGCATGGGGAGAAGGTCGGGAAGGAGAGGAGAATGATGAAAGGAGCAATTAGTAGCTTCTCTCGTGGCTTGCAGAAGGCGGTTAGGAAAGCTGGGGAGTATGAGATATGCGTTCAGGAGAGTCAACGCTGATGAGGTAGCACTAAGGATGGTCAAAAGTGGAGTGAACTTTGTTTCCAAAAACCGGTTCCCTGTACCTGCCAGTGGGGAAAGTTTGCCTCAAGGAGAGCTGATTCAGGCTCTGAAGGAGCTTGGGCCTGAGCAACTGGACAAGGGTAAGGAGATGGAGACACCCTGACACGGAAAGGAAAGGGTATTGTTTCTTTGGCATTGCGTATTTCTGGAGTGCATCAATTTGGAGGGACAATGGATTCCTAAGCCTTTAAAATTAAAGGTTTTCAGTGGACTGATTTTTTTTCTTTTAAGCTGCCACCTGCTCCCAGTGTTGTACGCCATCATGAATTGGCTTCTGCTCTAGCACAGATCTTTTTTACAGCTCTTAGTTAGTCTGGACCCCATGTTTACTTAGAACAGAAGGTTAAATTAGGCTCTTCTTACCCAGCCCTTCCCTGAATGCACCACTGACTGTTAAGACCAGCACATTGCCTCATCTATTTCAAGGAATGGATATAAAACACAAATGAAAACAAAACCGAGAAAAACCAATTTAAAGCCTCTAAAGCTACATAGTACAGCTGCAGAATAGGAACAGACAAAGCAAAACCTGTCTTCCGAAATGGATATTTGTTTTTAGCGATCTTGTTTTAATGAAAACTGTCATGATCAGCTCTAATCCCCTAGAAATCTAGATAAATATAGTGTCTATCTGATATACAAAGCATTTTTTATCTATTAGAAGTGCCTGTTACTGTTCTGGGTCTTTGAAGGATTCTGCTGTTGACGAGCACTGCTGTTTTACCCGGGAAGATTAATTTCCTGGCAGAATAGGCTAAAGGAAGTCCCTGAATTTTCCACCTTGTGCAGTATTTTAAGGTAGCATTTAAAATTATGTTATTTTGTGTTAGGAAATGGGACAGCACTTCTTTTTTTGTTATAAGTGTGCAGACTTGTTCTTACATCTCCTACTCAGGGAAAGCAAATAGCACCCAGCTGTCCTGAGTCCAGACCTGGGCTTGTTATCAATAGGCAGATGAGATGGTAGCTGCTGATTCTTTTGACATTTCTGTAGTTTTTAAATGACCTTTCCTCTAGAACTAGATGAAATGAACTGCAATTTCCCTTTGAGGGTGCTATGAAGGATTTGCAAATAATAGGCACTGAGAAGTCCCATAGAGCAGGTCTTTGAAATGGATTTCTTTCTGTTAAGTGGGACATGGTAGGATGGAGAAGCTGAAATGTATGCAGTATGTGTTCAAACATGCTTTGGACTCTTAAATGACAGCAGGGTAAGTATGTTTAACAAATAGTCTCTCCTAAATTAAGTGGTTGCTACTGTTGCATGAGGTTCCCCTCACTGCCATCAATCGCCAGATCCGTCTTGCATACCTCTATTGAAGACTTCATCCTGTGATCCTGGATGGTCAGTCCCTTCGTAATATGAGTTCCCGTTGTGCAGGAAAGTCCCCACGGCACGCCCTTGACGAGCGTGTCCTACTGCGTCGCTGAATACCTTGTTTATTTGCTCTTCGGATGGCATCCACCAGTCCGGGTTGGAAGTACAATGCATCCTAATGAACTCTGCGGGAAAACACGCAAGGATAAAAAACAACTTGTCTTTGCTGCATCTGTTATCGCCCGGGCATCAAAAGCTCATGGGAAATAAGAAAGGGGGCATTACTGCTCTACTTAAGTAAAAGTAAAGCCTTATGGGGGATGCCGTGATAATGCCACTTGTTCTGATTTTATTTCTGTACAAGCCGTGTAGCCGTGTTTCTCCACATGCAGCGTATGTGGTTATACCTGAGCTAACTATGCGATGCACAGGACCTGGAGATAAAATCCCTTCTTGTGGAAACAAAAAGAACTAATTCGAAGTGACGGTTGTGATTCAGTGTGTGCAATACATGTGAAAGGTAACATGAACCGGGATGTATTTAATTTGGAATCTGGTGTGCATTTATACCTGAAGGTGATTACTCTCGTGGACCTTTATGATCTCCCTCTGCTGGCTGCTTCAACATCTGCAGGCCGTAGTGGCCCACAACCTGCTTGAAAATGTCACTACCATTATTTCAGTTCGGTGCTCCTTTCTGTTTGGAGTACCTTTCATTTTCTTCCCATCTTCCTGAACCTGACACCTATTTTTCAGAGACTAAATTGGCCTTAGAAATAGCTAAATGAGATGATAGGGCTAATTTGGGGAGCCTTGCAATAGTTTTCAATGCAGGAGAAAATGAATTGTCCTGCATGTAATTTGGCTATTTAAGTAGCTGCTGCTTCCACATACAGCTATTTGTATGTGATGATTAAATTTTTTATAATTTCTTTTTCAGGTTCTTTGACATGCAATATGCTAAAGTTGCAGAAAGCACTGTACCAATTCTGGAGTTGTAACTGCTAGACACAGCTCAAATAGGTGTATTTGGACTTTGAAACGTCCAAATAAGATTTTAAATGTGAGGGCACCTTATTAGATATATTGGATATGCTGTACCTCATATGGAAACTGAGCTTCCTATTTATTCTGTAACATTAGTTATTCCCTCATGCGGTATTGTGTGTCCCAGGATATTTATAAATTCTATTTTCTACTGTTGACAAGCCAACAGCACAATAAGTGGCGTAAGGTAACTTCATTACTGTCACCACATCTCAAGACCAGGGAATGCTCCGCTTTTACATGAGTTCCCATGCCTGCAAGGTATCTCATCTGTTGAACAATTAGGACGTGATTTTTGCGTAGCTCCTCCAGCAGTGTGTCTGCAAAAGTGATTGCTATCTCGGTTTTAAATTCATTTCCCTGGAAATCCACACAGGCAACGGTAATTCCTACCTAGTTATGCTCACGTGGGGCTCCACAGACCGGTGGTTTTTTCAGAGAAATGGTTACCATGTAAAGGAGTAATGCTATAATTTAAGCATGCCGGGCTGTTTTAAAGCTGGTTCCAGACACCAGTCAGTTGCAGGAATATATTAAAAATGTTTATAGATGTTGAAACTACTCTGAGCGCAGAGAGAGAAGCACCTTGTACTCGCTGCTCTGGTGGGAAGGCGTAATTGGACATGCTGAGAATTAGACGCTCGTTACCTTGGCTTGCAAATGGGTAGGAGCCAGTGGCTAACTCTTGGCGCCGGAGGAAGTTCTCATGTTCCCACCCACGCACGAAAGCCCAAAGGGAGAGCTGCCTACTCTGCTTTCTTAACTGGTCCTTAGACACTGAACGTTTTGGCTTCCTGTTCCAGCTTCTGGAAATTAAGGAAATTGGCCTTTCTCTTTCTCCCAAGGAGCACTCCAAACATTCTGTATGTGCAGGACCCCAGAAAGGAAAGTGGCCATAAGCAAAAGTCCATCGACAGGTGGAGTTACTTTTAGTCTTGGTGGGAGGCAAGGGAAAGAAAGGGGAGGAAAAGGGTATTAACTCTCTGCTTGTGCATAAATTATTAGGTGAAATCAAAAGTCATTTAGTAAATGGTTAATATACTCATATTCAGCCTTCAGTTTCCAGGAGACCTTCTGGGACCCTGAATCTCGCTCCAGACCTCTGTGCAGCACGGTGTGCAATGGACTTGCCCTTCTCTTAAGCTCTCATAGAGTATAAGGTCTGATAGAGTATCACATAACAGGTTGACAGGTTCCTTTGTGGTAAAAAAAGAGCACCTTTGCCTCATTTGGCTGTATGTAAAATCTGAGTTCATTACCTGGTTACATCAGTGCACCCCAGCCTAAAAGTCTGATCTGCTTGGCCTTGTTGAATTCTTCTACCCTAGATGGGAAGAAGCTCCATCCGATGTATATAAACACTTTGGCCTCCCGTTGAATGACTAAAAATGTTTTTGTCACTGACCAAAATTCAGCTTTTTACATTGCATTGATTAGTCAGTTCAATCTAAATTTCAAGCACGTGCTCATAAAATACTATAAATTGAGTTAATTAAAGAAATGATAAGCATATGCATTTACAAAATGCAGACGTTGATACCACAAACACATTTTTAACCGGGCTTTAAAAAGTCCGACTTTGTACGTGTCATTATAAAGCCCAGTAATAGGCCTTTCTAACAATTTCAGGAAACAAGTATGAACTGCCATAATAGATAATTCTTCTCAATCTAGATCCTTTCTCTGTACTGTCCAACATCCTCAATCTCTTGACACGGTGAAGTGCTTGCAAAACTCTCCCTCCTTTCGAGGCTAAACATGGGGGAAAGTTGTTCCCTAACTTTTTCAGTCAATGTTGTGTCAGTGCTCCAGAAAAGAAGTCCTGGACAACACACTTGTATTCGCTTTGTATCTAACCAACCTGTAGATGTTCTTGGCCCCACAAAATGTCCAAGCCTTGGTTAGCTTTTAACTCCAATGAGGCACTGTGGCCTTATGCTTAATACACATTAGGCTGTAAATATTCCTTTGGTTAGCAATGTTAAAGAATGACCTGTTGGTTTATTATAAAAGAGTGTAATCAGGACTGTCTGTTTTTCCTCCTTTGCTTTTTCAAGTGTATCAGTGTCACGGGCCCTTGTATTTGTCTCCTCTCTTAAATAAGCAGCCCTGGTTTTTCCCATCCAAAAAAAAAAAAAATACACATATATAATACATACATACATATAACTATATGTATGTATAAAAAGAGTGGAGGGTTTCTGGCTGCTTGTCACCTGCCTCTGAAACCCCTTCTAGTTCTGCAACTGTCAGCCCAATGCTGCTACTGAGCCAGAGCCAATGTGGTGAAATGAGATCACATATGGTGGACACTGAGCGAAAAGATGCAGTACCTCTGAGACATGTTACTTTTACTGGATCCAGAGGACGTCTTTCAGGACCTGTCTCTCCTGACTGCACTGACCTTTTCCTTTTTCCAAGGCCGCATGAGTACTTAAGCTCATCGGTTGTGAAAACAAATCTGATGAGATAGCGAAGCAGCCGTCGTCCATCTTTCTTGGAAGAATTTACAGCCTCATCCCACTGTTTACTAGTGATGTAGACAGGGTAGTTGTTCAGCAACTGCTTGCTCCCCTGAAAAAGTGAAATATTTCCGTTGCTTATTTTACAAGGCAAATAAGTAAAGATGTCAGTTGCATTAAAAAAATACGCTTTCTAACTAGCTGCGATACTGACAGCGAAACACATCCCGAAGTGAACGCGTAATTGCTCTTACTGAGAATGAGTACTTTTAAAATTACATTTCCATTTCCTAGAACTCAAATTTGGCGAGGTACAAGGAATATGTTTTGGGAGGTGGTTATTGATGATTTCCACTTCAACAAGCAGGTTAAAAAGAGTTAAGAACCAGTGTTTGGGTATACTATTTGAGTATTATAACCTTTCCTCTTAATCTGTTAAAATGCGTAAAAAGGGTCTTTGAAGAACGTGATCAAATGGATCATTTCATCACAGCTGACAGTTTACTTCAGAGGTGACTCTTTTGGTCTATTTTTGTAATAAATTTATTACTTCTGTAGAACACACTTGAAACTTGACAGCAGTTATGTTACTGTGAAAAATATAAAGAAAATAAGTAAAAGAACTATGAAAACGAAAAGCTTCATTATTATTAATGAATGCCATATTAACTTAAATTACAGCTTTACAGAAATGCCACCATGTCAGCTGGAAAGAAATTTTGCTTTTAACCTTCATAATTTGTGTGCTTCAATAGTCCAACATTAAATGAATAACGTGGGACTAATTATGGGGATTCCTGTAATGCACACACATTTAGAAGCCCTCTTTACTCAACTGCACCTAAATTGTGTTTAATTCTTGTTGCCCATAAAATGCTATACCTCAGGATTACCCAATTAACATAAGATGGTACTGTTAACATACTTGAAATAACTGAAGTACACAAAACCCCCAACCCTTAACCCACACCCACCTCGAGGCTCATTCACTTCTACAGCTACACCGCTTTATTAAAACACATAAACCTGGGGTCCTAATTAGTTAAAGCTTCGTAGACCCCCCAGCTTTGATGGGAATTCACAGCGAACAAGAAAAACAAGGGTCCGATGCTCAACAGAGGCAATCACCTGTACGCCGCACTTGTGGGCCACTGTTGCAAAGTTCTCCTCCTCACTTCCAGATCTTTGGTATCTGAAAACTATTTTAAGGACTACCTTTGCCTCCTTTCATATCTGTATTATAGCATCCTGGGAGACAGCTTGGGAGCATCTTCAAAGTTTTTCCTCATGTATTTGCTTTTAATTTTTTTTTTTTGCAAGTTTGATAAATACGTGGAAGGTTGAATTTAGTGAAGACCGTGATGGGGGGGTCCGTGGAGAATCTGTTCGTACGACTTAAGAGTACCGCCAGCTCCCAGGGGGGTTAGCATCACTGGGAGCTGAGACTGTGTGACTGTCTGCTACTTGTTTGCCTTGGTGCAATCCTGGCTGGATTGGTGCAAACCGCTGGCAACGGCAGCTACAAGCAAATCCAGAACGCTGCAAAGGAAGTCAAAATAGAAAGGAGGAGACAGGCTTTGTCTGTCTGATGGGCCCCTATCCTTTCCCCCAAACATCTCAACCCTTCAGCTTGTAAATCCAAGCTTGTGATCCCTAGGAGAAAGACCCTTCACCTACAGTCCCACTCTTGTCCATAATCCGAGACTTCCTCTTTGCGTTTCACCTGTCTGCTCCCACCATGGCAAAAGGGCCAGGGCCAGTTCCTCCCCATCCGCTCATGGTGCAAGGAGCTGCTTTAATTTGCAAAATTTAATTTGCAAATTTTAATTTTAATGTGCCCCTGGGATGCCAATAATACATCTGAGCAGCTTTGCCCTGGAAAGAGCATCACCCTCCATCCAGCCCAGCTCCTCATGCTCTGCCAGCGTGGCAAAGGGGCTGGGGAAGGAGGAAGAGCAGGGAGGCCGCATGGAAAGCTCTTACGCTGAAGCAGCTGTGACCACTCTGTCTCGGTGGGAGCTGACACTACTATTTCCTTGGCGTGTTCCATCACAGAGGTAATACACACCACCATCTGATCCCCACATTGGTACTCATTTTTTTCCAGCAGCTAGCTCAGCACTCCTTTTATATAAAACTACTTATTTTCCTACCTTAGATTCCTGAAACCTACTTTTTTCCCTATTTAAAAAAAAAAACCCTCTAGTGAAGCTAGGACCTTTCTTACCAACACCGGTGCAAAGTACAAGCTGCAGCTAGCTCCGTAGGCACTGCCTTGCTTTTGAGCCCTGGAAGGCAGGAGCAATGCGATGCAAGCCAGTACCGGCACAGGGTAAGGCTCCAGGCTTGCTCATGTGTGTTAGGGATGGATGCTCATGTGTGGCTTTGCTAAGTAGCAAACTATCCTAAAAGCCACCTCCGTGTTTAAATGTATTGCACTGATGGAAATAAGGTGCAGAAAGGCCCGATATCTAAATTTCATGAGAACTCACATTACTATTAACTGAGGAGAAGGCAATAAATTTTGCGTAATTTCCTCAGCCCCAATTTTATTGTATTTCTCTCTTATTCCCCCTGAAATTTAGGATATTTTTCCTCGTTCTTCTCCAAAGGCATGAGATGATAGTGTTATGCTACTCTGTTAAACAATTAGTGGGCTCCTGCTACAGATACACTTTAATTACTTCCTCTGAAAGTAAAGCACCTCTGGGCAAAAGATTCTCGGCAAATATATGATGCACTTTGGTGTGTCCAGCAGTCATTAAACTAAAACAAACAGAAAACCTTCCAGAAATGAAACAAGCAGACCCTGAAGGAAGAACCAAAGTACAAACGCATTCATGCTTGTATTTGTACATGATTAAGCTTATGAATAAAAGATTAGCATCTCTGTGTTTAATTAAATAAAAAATTCCGTCACACCATGACAAGCTATTCCATGTGGGACGTTACAGAACAGCCTCAGTTTTCACAGTGCTTGAAAATTTTAGTTAAGCAAAAGAGCATTAAAAAAAGGAAAATGAATCCTTGGAATATATTTGAGTGATAACAGCTAATGATACACATAAATACAAATACATATATGTATATATCATTTTGCACGTGGTAAAACTGCATGGAGGAGCACAGTGACACACATCCTGAACTGCTGCAAAGCATCTTCATCGAAACTATGGCGAGTTGGACTACGTGAGGCTTGCACTATGTATCATTTACACGCAAGGGGAGGTCAGACTCGACCTAAGTCTTCCCTCTTCTGATTTTGTTTGTGGGAATACTGGGTAGTGACACGTATACACTACATACACTAAAACATGCATAGCAAGAGCCTCAGATACAGTCAGTCTGAACTAGGAAAGTCTCAACAAAACCACTTCATTTGAGGCATTTTTACAAGCCTGGATAGAAACACACTGGAGCAAAATTAATGTGAGTTACACTAGAACTGATAGATAAATCTATACATCTACATTCTAGAGAAGGGGAGGACTTAAATTTCCTGCTTTTTCACTGCAGCACTTTTAAACAGAACATAATTACACAAATCCTCAAACTCCGTATCAAGTCTAAAATTGTCAACACTCAACATTTTGTTTGGGATGCTTTCTGAAAAGCAAGAGCACTCCAAAGACTTGCAGAAGTCTATATTTGGGTCCGTCTGCAAAATGAAGGAAACTTCTATTTTAGTGTTAACCACCTCGGGGCTGCATTAGAGCTATACTGACTTCGTACACGTGTGCGCCTGTGTCCATACGCACGACATGTCGGTACCCCCCACGCCGCATGCAGCCACCATCAATCACCCAGCTACAGTTCTCACCGTGCTAGCCCCAGCCTAAAGTCCACCCACAAAAGTGATGTTTCTGAGGAAAGGTGGGAGAAAAATTACCCAAAGCAAGGCAAGTGCAGCCGGTACCGATGGAGGCAGTTACGCGCTGCTCGGCAAAGTCATTCTAGATTATACTAGTGATAAGCCGCCTCCATCTTCTGGGGGATCACTGTACCTAAGAACAACAGTTTAATAATAGATTTTACATATTTCTAGTACTAAATATATTCTTCCAGCGCCTACTGATTTATTTGCCTACATGTTTTCAACGTATTGTCAAACATAAAGAGATGTAGCTTGTCTTCACTGTATACTACCTCAGTCGGATGGTCTGTTGGCTGTGGTACCATAAGCTGGTTGTGATGCTGAAGTACAGTCTTCAAATAATCTAAAACAGTCTGGCAGGGCACTGCATGAAACAAATTGCAATTACTGTATATTAGCTATCTAGCACAAAATAGAACAACAATATTAAATCAAGCAGCGTTCTTCAGGATCTGTTCTGTACGTCTGTGAGATTTATTTCAAATAGGAAATACTCCTCATTTTGATTTGTGCGATCATTTCATTCAATAAATATACGACGGATGTTGTATTTCCTATGTCGAGATCTCTGGCATCATTGCTTTTATTTTCTGCCCACTGGTTCTCCAAGTTTTTTTTTTTTTCTAGTTTGAAATTATAATTATTGCGAATACAAATTAGGTCAGCAGTAATGATAATAAGAAAAAAACCCTGTAAATACTGTAAACAGCCCAAACCATACAAAGGAGAAAACATTTCTTGGACCCAAGTCATGCACTGATTAACATGTAAACATGCTCAAATGTTGTTGAAACTACAGACTGATTAACTATACTGAACAGATTTAATGATTCATATACTGTAATTTCCGCCCTCCTCCCAAATTTGTTATAAAACTAGGTGTTAGGCAAATCGCTTTATTTCTCTTTCTTTCATCCTCCTTCCTTCCCATTCCCATCACTCTCATCCATTTCAGTAGTGGTACCAACATCCTCTTCCCTTCTGCTGAGGTGATAGGTTAATTAGGGATGATTCAATTACGGGTCTCTCTTAAGCAGATGCTGCCACATCCCTGATTAACTCTGGAGTATTTTTGAGATACAGTGCTTTTCTCCTGAGCCTGGAACACCATAGGAGAATTAAACAGATATTAACCCAACGTTACGACTGACTTGTGCAAGACTAAATAAGCATCGTCTTTAAGGTACCTTATTGCTCTCACATTTTGCATGGGTTGTTTTTGTAAAATAGTCAGAGAGAATCTTAGCTTCAGCTATAAAATCCAGCAAAAATATTTCAGCGTTCCTTCTTTTTTTTTTTATTTCTTGGCATTTTGCCTTTACACCCGGAGAAACGTGGGTTTTGGGGGGCTTTGTCTTAAGCTGGCAACCTGAAAGCAAGCACTGAAATCACTGAGAACATCTCAAGGTAGGATTTACAGACATTTTGCACCCTTTCCTGGGCATTCACACTGTGCAGTAACTATGCCCCTGGCTAGGCAGACAGTGCAAGACACCTTTACTCTGTGCAAAACAGACCTTTTACTACAGGCTAAGCAGTGTTACACCCAGTAGTCTGCATACAGAAGTCATGCAAAGTGCCCAGCATGGGTAATAAATTCCTATATCCTTTCACCCCACACTGACTTCTCCGTAAAGATGAGCCATCCGTGTATTTACTCCCGTTCCACGTGATATATCACACTTTGCCATAGGAGGTTAGGAGGTGATGCGTTAGGCAAAAGTCAGGATTTCAAGTGACTTGTACCTGTTTAATTTCTACAGTGATTTCACTGCTTATTGCCCAACCGGGGCACTGTCTCGGTGGTGTAGCTATGACACAGTCACGCTGCCAAAGTGTGTGAAAAGGAGAGCATGGATTCTTCGTAGGAAAAAAACCCACTTCTAAGTGTCGCCAGGTGGTTTTAGAAAATGTTTCAATTCTGAAAAACTCAGAAGGGCAATAATAGTCCCACCAACATGTTCTGTGGCCTTCCTGTAATGACAGCTGTGTATTTAGCATATAGCAGCAATCAAAAAATTAAATAAAAGTTCCTACATGGAAGAACAGAGAAAAATAACCATAGGTAACATCTTAGTACACTGGATGTTTGTTAAGAAGGTGTGGCAAAAAAAGGATTTGGCTTTTTTCCCCATTTTTATACAGAGGAAAGCGTACGTGGGGAAAAAGGAAAGATTATTTTTTTTTCCATGTGGATAGGCTGAAGGATAGGATTGTATTTTGAGACCCTCTTCCTTCACTCTGTGTGTGTTTGCTGTCTGGCATGTCCGAAACCAAAATTAAACTAGGAACGCCCTTGCACAGGTTACTCTCCGATTAAGCAGGTGTCCAAGAAAGAGGATGGTGAAGGCGGATCACGAGCAGCGTCAGAAACCCTGTGCCCAGGTCAGCAAAAACTCCCGCTCGGGTGGAAGTTACTGCGGTTAACCAGCATCTCCTGTGCGACCCTGGATCTCCTGCGAGGGGACAGCAAGGATGGAAGGGGCTATAGTGGGCGGCTGTACTACTGCCTGAAAGATGCCCGATACTTGGACTTGGAGGAAAGTTGAGTGATACTTGGGAAACCTGAGATACTTGTGAAGCATCCTTTCCCTGCCCCGTCTAAATGTGTTGCTTTTTGTTCAGCAAGCTCACTGAGGACATAGCTGCTGAAGCATCAGCGGTACCTGGGAGCTTTAGACTTCTTTGCTCCCCATGAAGCTGGGCTCAAAGCAGTCTATGAAGTTTGCACTTGCTGTTTTGATTCTCTCTATTAGCAAAAATCCCTGTTGATGACCTGATGGTTCTCAGTCATACTTGGTACTATTACCTGTAATTATGTGGAACAATGTGGGGCCTGAAAGGGAACAGAATATTATGCATCAAAAAACTCTAATTTTTTGGACCTAATCTCACGGCAGGGTGGTATTTTACCCACAGTAAGTAATTTCACTACAGGTTATCCAAAGACGTATTTACCTATGTTCTTCCAAAGGGATGCGACACAGTGAGAAGACAACAGGAAACTGTTTAACCTGTTGTGTCCCCAACAGATGAAGTACAGCTCTACTTTAACTGTATTCTGCTGATAAAATGCTTTCTCATTACCAGTGAGAAATATGAAGATACTAAAACCTGTCTGAAGCTTGTAAATACTTCTATCTTCATAAAAGCTGTAATGTTTTGAGCACACAATTGTATGATTTTGTTATCGTTCTAGTGACTGGAGAACTCTGAGCACTCGGAAAGCCATCGTACATCAGTTTGCTGCTGGTACAAATAATATCAGCCTTTCAAACACCAGATGGTACTTGCAAAGCCAGGCTTCTTGGGCTGCTGCATTAACCAAAGCCTAGAGGAAGCCACAAAGAGGGCAGCACGAGGCAGAGACTCAAGGCTTCGGTTTTGTTTCTGTGTTCCTCTTATGGCTCTGCAAATATTCTCTTTGTCAAGAGATAAGAGGAACTGTTTCCCTCAAACCCTGCAGCAAATGTAACTTTGTAAGAGCCTGTGGCTCCCGACTGCGAGTGTGAAAAATCATTTAAACCTACTAGCTTATTTGCTTTGTATTTCTTTGACTTTGACGTGGTCTCGAGAGAGTTAACAAGATCCTAGAAACCAACAGCGGATTCTCTGATGCTTATGCACGTATCCACTGACAACACCGACGGGGATCTGTGCCTACTGCAACCAATGGGAAAGACGCCAATGTCCAAGTAACGCTTGTTATGATTTAGCAGAAAGCCGTAATGCTCCTGCCCATTAGGAAGAAGTTTCCACAGCCTTTACTTTCTGCAAGTGCCAGCGACTCAGAAAAGACACTGGACTTGGCAAAGTTAACCTGGCCTGCAGCGAGTGAAAGAAGAGTGAGATCTCTGAGGGAGCTAAAGGGTGAGGCTACAGGGGACTTGGCATGCTGGGGAAGGCTGGTCTTGCTAGGATGCTAAGCAGTGACTGAGCAGGACACACGTAAGAGGTGGCAGGTCTTTGTTTATCGATCCAAGCTTTAAGACTTCGTCGTTATTCTGGGCATCAGTACGTTGTAACAAGTGCTTCCTTGGCGTAGCTTGTCGCAGCTCTCTCTGCGGAGCACCTCGATTTCTAATAAATAGTTGAACGGCATGGTGGCCACCGGCTGTGCTGATGACAAAAGCCAGGATCCGATCTCTCAGTCTGACCTGCCGCACGGCGCAGCACCTCCCCAGACTAAACCCTCTTCGCACCAGACAGCATCAGCAGGTGAAACACAATACAACTCGTTGTCATCTCCTGGCGAAGCAGCTTCTACCCCTGGCTTGTGACAGCACGTCAACATACAGAAACATACACCTTATTTCAAGTCTGCATTTCGACTTCCTTTGACTCGGTTTTATAAAATCTTTGGAAAAGAAACGGTAAATGCTTGTCACTTGTTACGTACTTGTAAGTCAGTGGTGAAGTCATTTCTCCATCTTCTCTTTGCTAAGCTCAACACCGACCCTCCTGAGATGCCGGGCTCATGCTAAAAGCAGAGTCCCTACACCCACCTATGCATCTGTACATCCAAAGACCACGCCAGCCCTTTTGGGCATGCTGTGCACCAGTGCTCAGCTGGAAAGCCACCACGTCCTCCAAAAGCCTTCCTCAGTGTCCGTTCCCCAGTGGCTGAAACCAAGTAGAGCCGATGTTCTCTGTGCCTCAACACACGGTAATGCGGCACTGCCTTCAGCGGAGTCTGTCGCCTCTCATCTTCCTCACTCACTGCTACCTCTGCACCGCTCGCAAGCTGTGAGCAATGACTGTATGCTTTCTTTCACCGATAAAAGTATTAAAAACATAGGCTGTGAACAGTTTCACAATAGTTAAGATTTCCCAGAAATTCAGCTGCATCATGACAATTTCCTCAGTGCAAACATACTTGCATTTTTTAAATCACTCTTTGCAATATAATGTTATGTAACACCCTGAATATCTGCAATATCCTCATCAACCAAACTTTTCATCTCATCAAAACCATAATTTGGCAAGGTGTTGCCTGGTAATAACTCCATGATTCTCTTTTAGTACTCTATCAATTGAATCTGGCATCAGCTGTGCAATTAGTTTGTCTGGGAACAGTATCAGGCCAAAGAGCCTACAATCAACTGGGACATCATCTCATGCATCCTTTTAAAAAAATCATACAGTATTTGCATCTTTCAATCCTCTGGAGCATCCCAAATATTTCAAAACATAAAGAAAATCATAGTTTTCATCTTCTTTGTCCACCTTCATTTTTGTTTTAGTTTGTGAGTTGTCCAAATGTCATGATTTTGAAAACATCACACTTTGGTAGCAGCTGCCTAATGCTTTTGGTAATAAGCTGATGTGCATTTGGGAATAAAAAGCTGGTGTGCCCACGGAGTT